GATCCAGAGTCTGGAGGAAGACTGGGGAGAAGGAAATGCTAAAATGCCTGAACTCACAGTCAGTGATGGTCTGAGGTGCCATTTGTATTTTCTTTATACTTTATCACAATATGCTAATTTTTTTGAGGACCTGTATATAAAAATCGGCAAACCTTTGCCACATTCGATATTTAGTTTTAATATTTAGCATTTAGATGAACATATGTAGCATCAATTAAATTMTAATTACTTAAATGTGCTAAAAGTTGACTTTAGAAAAGCAACACTACTTTCTCAAACAATATTTGAAGCTAAATGTGATAAAATTTTAAGTTATTTTTAGCACAAGCTGCTTTATAAACACTCCCTGTATGTGTTGCCTTAGTTTTATGTTTATTTAATCACTTTCAAAAAGTCATTCCTTAAATTTATCTACATTTCAACAATTTTATTGAACTGACAATCTCAGACAGTTTTGTTTCCAGCTCTCACTAATAATTAAGATTTAGGRCTTAAAGACCAGAATGTCTGTAAAGAAATGATCTAATTTAAAAAATGGCAACAAATGACTCATTTCTTAATCTTTAGGGGAAAACGATCCATGGAGGCAACTGGGGAATGCAGCTTGTCCTGATCCTTGTGAAGTGCTTCAGTGTTTAAATGAATATTTGGGTGCACRTGTGAGGCAGGTGTCTTATGATGATCTTGTTCCTGTTTCAGTGGCCTGCAGCTTTGAATGAATTCATCAGATTGGTAACAAGACTGGTTTTATGGAGCTAAAAGCCTCTGCATCTGTTTGGCACGGGTCCACACGTAGACAAAACAAAAAAACGCTGAAAACAAAATCCTGCAGCTCAAACAAACCTTTAGTGGGGACCTATAATAAAGACATCAAAGGCAGGAAAGAGCGGTTTGAGAAAAAATAATGAAACAAATCAAGCTTGTCTTGACTAAACCTGAAAATTCCTTCTTTATAGTCAACATTTTTTTTAACATCTTCTTTGTTTCTAAASCTGAACTGTTTTCCTGCAGCATTGTACATTAAAGGCAATGATGTCACCAAGCTGGCCTCTATGGCCAAACTAAAGGCAGGGCGTTTGGCGAGAGAGCTGAGTGACGGCTGTCTGCAGTTCTGGGGAGGAATGGGCTACACCTCAGATGTGCCGGTCAGCAGATTTTACAGGTAAGACTGAAAAAAAGTGAACAGAGCTGCGAGTTCTGAGTGTTTAAATAAAAACTAAAACATGCAGCTCCTGTTTTTTTTTTTTTTTGCTTGTGTATGAATCCTTGACAAAGCTGCGTCAGTCACACTATTTTAATACAGCTATCAGTGATGCTGCTTTGTGAAAGATTGTTCCCATGGTAACACAGCAGCCGCACACATGTAGGAGTTTGTGGTCATTTTATTTTACAGTTTATTTTAATCTGCTTTAAGTACTAACAAAAAGAAAAAAAAACTATGCTGAAGTATTCCTTATTTTGAAATGTTTTCCTTTTTTTTATTTCAAAGGGACTCCAGGTTGTTGTCYATCGGTGCAGGAGCAGATGAGGTGATGCTCGGGATCATCTGTAAATACATGGACACGCTGCCAAGGAAGTGATGTCATCGATGCCTACTCCTGAACTGATTTCAAGACCGTCCAGAAAGCTCTGATTAAAACAAAAAATGATCACAGAAGTGCAATTCTCACATTTTAWCTCTTTGACCTGTTGAATAAGGTAGACTATATTGATTTCTGGTCATGTAAGATAGAGACTTTAAGCACTTTTTGTTATTTGCATTAATAAAGTGTTTATATTTTTAAAAAACTTTTTTTTAAATTAAGTAAAACAATGTACAACAGATTATTTTGTTTTGTGAATCGTTAACAGTAATAAACAATGTAAAAGATTTTCAACACAATCCCTGCATGTTAATGGAACACACTAGCCAATTCTGAACATAAAATTTGTTTATTTACATCAACATTTTTACAATAAGCTGGAACAGAGGATGATGATGCTGTTAGCATGATCTATTTATTCTATAACAAACAAATACTCTGAAACTTTAATCAGTTTTAGCACATGTGCTGTGTGAAACTGTTCGTCAGCTGRTGATCTGTAAGTTTCCTCTACAGCATAAAGTTTTTATTCAACCATTATTACAGGTCTTTTTTTTTTTATTATTGGGTCTTTTGCACTTCAATCAGCCTGTTTAATTGTACAGACAACCATCAATGGGAGTTCTTTTGCAACCGAATTGGGGTCARTGTGTGAATTGCTCAGACTCTGAGCACATGAAGCCAAGTCATATTTTTAGAAAAACAAATCCTTGCCTTACATCATTATGTCAGRCTGGGTTAGACATCCATCAGACAGGGATCGCAGATGTGGAACTAAAGGGCCAAGTCCAGAAAGGTGCGCTTATCACCTCAGTTTGATAAACCAGTACAGAACAAAGAAYACAAAAAAGCAGAAGAGCAGCAGGTAGCACAGTAGTTTAGTCTGACTGCCTCTGGAGAGCTGTTTTACTCTGCCGATGGTTGCTCCGAGTAGTCCGCCTGTCGAGTCAAAGTCTGAGTCCTGCAAAGATGAGAGGGGTTATGTCCAAAATCCAGCTGGGTACCACTACAAAAAACACCAAGATCCCTGGAAATACATTTAAAGCTCTACATTATATATATTTTGCACCACACAATTTTTAATCCAGGAATAAAACATCAAAAATGGCATTCAAGAAAGAAGATGTTCATTTTTAAGACTTAATAGTAGCTAAAAGTGAAAACTCACCATGTCATCCAGCATTTTATTCTGGTATTTGACTTCTGTTCCAATGTCAATTGACAGCTATAAATATAAAAAAATGTCAAAATATTAACAACATGTCATGACACAATCAATGAGGACATATATAAATATTTACACTTTTCAAGGCGTTGACTTTAGCTCGGAGTCCCTCCTGAAGGTGCTGGTTTTCCTCCTCATAAACACTGTATCCACTGGCTACATACTGTCCAGAGCCTCCTTCACCTGACAAACAGGATAACAACAGTTTATTAACAACTACCCTTCGGTTTAGAGTCGTAATATACTATTAATAAAATCCCGAGACAAAAAATCATACCGTCCTATTTGTTTTCAGTTTCTAAAGCTAACTAGCATTAGCCTGTTAGCTTATCGTAAACGTACAAAATATACATTTCTTACCCAGTCCGGCGCGCCTCATCTCGAACTACTGAAGCAAAGCTGTCCAATAATTTTACAAGTTGAAAAGAATAAGAACAGCCAACTAATAATATTACCACTAGATAAATAAGGAGGAAAGTACAGCTAACTAAAACCGTAAGCCGTATAGAAGAAGGAAACACCACGACATCATACGGTGGCCGACGAGGACCACCGTTCTGATGAATCCTTCCCGGCCCAGCATATCCCATAATGCATTGCGGCCCGACCGGAGATTTTTTTTTCTAGTAATGGCGGACGAAGCGAGAGTCGAAGCGATGGAGGAGTACAGTTTTAAATGTAAGTATATTAAAATCTGCCGGTAAAAAAA